TCAGTGTTGCATGACCTGGCAAAGGCTGCATGTCTATGTGCTGTGCTCCATGACCTGGCAGTGAACAGAGCCCAAACAATGTCTGACAGTAACGCAGAGAAGAGGAGAGGGTGGAGAAAAGGCAGAGACTTTTGGGGATTGGTGGGGGGAAGGGGCAGAGATTGTGGGGAGAAGATGGAGGGAAAGGCAGAGGCTGTTGGTAGATAGGGGTGGGGATTGCAGGTGGTGGTGGGGGTAGTAAGGCTTCAGGGGGAATAAAGATGGGGTAGGGGCAAGAGGGCTTCCTGATCCTCTCCAGCCACCTGACTCCCCCACCACAGCCCCTGTTTTCCCACAGTAGTGCCCAAAACTTTTGCTTCTGTTGTGGTAACATGAACCTGGCTTGTCCTATATAAAAGTATAAAAGGATGGCAATGAGCATATGTGTTGTTTTCCTTGTGGAGAATTCACCTTGGTCATGGGTTGGTGATCAAAGTACTTGATATTTTAGTCAAGGTTACTCCTCTCCACCCAGAGCTGTCAGGAGCAGGAAAAAGAAATGAGGGAGAGGTAGGGACTTTTTCAGGGTGGAATTGTTGACCTTGGAAGGAGCAAAGAACACATTCACAGTGATCTTGTCAGGTTTTTTTTTCATCAGGAAGGGGTTGTGGGATTAGGAGTTCTGGAGAGGCAGTGTGCCTGGATCTAATTTAAAATGGATACCTTGGCTGAACTTCTCTTCCATTCTTTCCTTAATAACTGAAAGCAGAACATGAATGTAGAAGTGGTGAAGATGGGACATTAAGACCTAGATAAAACATCTCCCTGAGGCAAAATCAAAGGTTGCTGCCCTGTAGGTCATGTACAGGTTAAAGTACTGGCAGTATGTAGTAGAGTGTGGTTCCCTCTAGCAGGTACTGGGCACATCTACACATGCAATTAATGTGAATGAATATAATTCAGTTCAATTTGAGCAAGAGAAAACTAATCCCAATATCACCATCTACATGTGTGCTTAAGTGCAGTAATTTACTGTGCTGCTGGATACCACTTGTATCTGATGGGACTATCTGGCTGTGCAGTAAATTACTCTACTGATCCCTAATTGCTGTGCATGTGTAGACAGTGATGCTTTACTGTACAGAAAATTAGCCTGCTGCGCAGTAAAGCGTCTAGTGCAGATGCACCCACTGTACCTTGGAGGCTCAACTTTGTTACTATACACTTCTTGAGCTAACAATATGTTTAAGTCTATGGTAGGGGTTCATTTAAAGGAATTTAGATTGATAAGTACAATATGCGAAGTAATGAAGTGGAACAAAGCTGAAAATTAAATACAGATTACATACATGACATTGGTTTATCCATTTCCATCCCTTGTATTGGTGTGGGTCTATTGATTCCATGGCAAACAGGCTAGAGAGTATGCTACGTCTTTACTGATGACAATGTTGTTGGCACTTGCATATATTTACACACAGAGCAGATGAGAAAAATGTTTTGGCACTAACAGATCCTGCCTTTACTGAAACTTCAGAGGAGTTGTCATGCCATTAAGATGGAGTGGGGCCATTCAGGTGCTCCCATTTGGCATGGGACCAACAACAACATTTTGGGGATGGCCTTATTTGAATGGACACTCAGGTGCTACAGACCCCTATGTGGTTACCATAGTAAAGGGAGAGACTAGTGTGGGAATAGGGTTCTGTAGGAGTAAAGATATCATATTCACTCAAATTCAAGATGAGATTCCACCCCACCCCGCCTCCCCTGTTCAACATAGAATCATACAAAACTAGGGCTTGAAGGTAGGCTTTGGCTTCCTGGACAACCCCCAAACTATTTTAGTTGCCCTCCGCTTGACTCTATACTAATGCTAGGAGCATGGGGAACAAGCAGGATGAACTAGCGCTCCTGCTTGCAGAAAACACCTATGACTTAGTAGGGCTAACAGAAACCTGGTGGGATTCATCCCACGACTGGGCGGTACATATTGAGGGTTAGTGGCTGTACAGAAAGGACAGGGTGGGGAAGAAAGGGGGAGGGGTAGCACTGTATGTCAATGAGCAGTATACATCGACCCTCATCAAGACGGAATCGAAGGATGAGGAAGTAGAAGGATTGTGGGTTAGGTTACATGGGGGGCAAGGAGAAAGGGATTTGGTGGTAGGGGTCTGCTGCAGACCCCTACACCAAGGGGAAGAACTAGATTCGGGGCTCCTGAAGCAGCTCTCGGAGACCATAAAAGCTAAGGAGGCGGTAGTCATGGGGGACCTAAACTACCCAGACATCTGCTGGGAGATGCAGACAGCAAAGTCCCACCATTCACACAGGTTTCTAACCTGTGTACAGGACCTCCACCTGACACAGGAGATACACGGTCCCACGAAAGGATCCTTCGGGCACAACGCAAGACGATCCCCGAGCGAGGCAAAAGGGGGAAAGGGGCCAGGAGGCTTCCCTGGCTGACCAGAGAAATCCAGGGCAGCCTACGGGCCAAAAGGGGAGCACATAAAAAGTGGAAACAGGGAGAGAGCACCAAAGAGAAGCATACATCCTCTGCTCATGCTTGTAGGGAGGCAGTTAGACGGGCCAAAGCTACCATGGAGCTGAGGATGGCATCCCAAGTAAAGGATAACAAAAAATTGTTTTTTAGATATATAGGGAGTAAAAGAAAGGCCCAGGGAAGAATAGGACCCCTACTAAATGGGCAGAAGCAATTGATGATGGACAGGGGGGACAAGGCTGAACTCCTCAATGAGTTCTTTGCCTCAGTGTTCCTAAGAGAGGGGCAAGACAAGTCTCTCACTGGGGTTGTAGAGAGGCAGCAGCAAGGCGCCAGACTACCATGCATAGACCCTGAGATGGTGCAGAGTCACTTGGAAGAACTGGATGCCTTTAAGCCGGCAGGCCCAGATGAGCTCCATTCGAGGGTACTGAAGGCACTGGCCGACATCATTGCACAGACATTGGCAGGAATATTTGAACACTTGTCGTGCACAGGCCAAGTCCTGGAGGACTGGAAAAGGGCCAATGTGGTCCCCATTTTCAAGAAGGGGAGGAAGGAGGACCCGGGCAACTATAGGCCAGTCAGTCTCACCTCCATCCTTGGCAAAGTCTTTGAAAAAATTATCAAACCCCACATATGCGAGAGCCCGGCAGGACAAATTATGCTGAGGGGAAACCAGCACGGGTTC